AGACGTCTAGGGAATTCTGGGAGTTGAAGTCCATACATCTTCAAGTGGCCAAGGTTGAGAAACACTGTGCCAGGGACTGGACCCAGGACCTGCTACATGCAAATTATGTGTTCTGCATTTAAGCCAGGAATTCCAAGAGAACCCTTCAGGATTGCTGTTTTATGGCTCATTTCTTGCATGGCCCAAGTCTTGTTCAAGCACCCCTTGTGTCAGGAGATCAGTGGTGCTACTCTCTTGTTCATGCCCCTATCTGTTGCACACCCTCAGGGAGTCAGGAGACAGCTCGCCAACAGCATCGCCATTCTCCTTAGTGCTGAATTATTTACAGTAACAGATAGCAGATTGCCTGATGAATGGCCTCAGTTTATAGTCCTGACAGAGCAATTGTTCCCCCCCTCCCCCTTTGCAATCTCTCCAGGTAAGTGAGAGTTTCTGCCAGACACACCTCTTCACAGCATTGTCGGCATAACTCAGTGGGGGCAGAAGTAGGGGTGGGAGGAAGTTAAGGAATTTAATGGAAAACAGAAGGTGAGGGGCCAGCAACTTGATGAATTATTCATCCCAGCTTGCACGCTCTGGCCTGCTTGTGCCTTTCTTGGAGCCAGAGACAGCAACCAGGGAGATTTATGAGCAGGAAAGTAACACGTTAGCCCATCAAAGTGTCTCACCACCTACCTGGAAGTGTGCAATGGCCGCAGTATTTATTCAGGTTGAAAAGAACCATTTAAAAGAGGGCACTGGTAAATCAGGTAGACTCTTTTATCCAGACTGGGCAGTGGGAGGGAGTGGGAGCCCCTCAGCCAGAAGGCTCCAGTTTCCACCGATTTTTGAAGTAACTGCCCTCTTGAAGATCAGCTCAGGTTGCCAGATAGGCCCAGAAAGTCCAGTGAAGGGGCCTCGGGTGCCAGCATATCCAATACGTATGATGGAGACGGAGTACAGGAAACCTCATCTCAAATGATCAAAAGACTGGAGCATCTTCCCCAAAGGCAGGACTAAAGGGCCTGAGACTTTTGCTTTGCAAAGAGTTGATTGGTAAGAGAGGGGAGATAAGGAGGGTTGGCAATGCTTGCACACCATGGACATTTTGGCTCCCCAAATTCTAGGATCAGTAGATTTTGGTTGGATATCAGGAAAAAAGTCCTAATGGTAAGAGCTGTTCAACAAAGGACCAGACTGCCTCTGGAGGTAGTGGATTCTTCTTTGCTGGAAGTGTTTAAACCAAGGACAGCCATCTGTTGGGATGATGTAGTACAGGATTCCTACACTGGGCAGGGTGTTGGACTAGATGGTCCCTTATATTCTATAATTATCTTTTGCAAGACTGCAAAATCACGACATTCTCATGTAAGATTTTACTATACTTTGCCATTTCTATTTTCATTTTGGAGGGCCTTGTGAGCAAGTCTTGAGGGTCTTGCGAATGGGGGACTGCCAACTTCTGCAACAGACTATTAAACTATGTATGATGTAGAAAGGGTAGATAAAGAATAGCTTGTCTCCCTCTCTGGTAGGAATAGAACAATGAGTCATTCAATGAAACAGACCAGCCTGAAATTCATGCTAGATAAAAGGAAGGACTTCTTCACATAGTGAATAATGCTGACGAAGCATAAGCCAGATGGCTTTAAAAAGAAACAGGGAGGTGGAGGGTCTATTAATAGATATTTATCATGATGATTGTAATAGAACTGCCTGTTCAGAGGCAGTCTACCCAGTGCTGAGAAGAAATACTTAGAACAGTGCAACCACCACTGCCTTCTCTGCAAGCCTGCAGATGTATTTGCTGTCCAGTGTCAGAAACTAAACATTTGGCCCAGAGGAGCAACACTGTCAATGGCTGGCTTCCAGGTTAACAAAACATAACTGCTGTGTTTATATAATGCGCCATGCCCAGGAAATAAATCTTACTATGAACTACAGTGGTACTTCGGTTCACAAACGCTTCTGTTCACGAACAATTCGGTTCACTCTCCCTCCAAGCAGTAACCGCCTCCCCACCCGCCTTCCTGTCCTCCACGCCAGAAGTCACGTCGAGCAAGGTTA